AAGAAAGATAAAGAAATTATATTTGAACTGAATAGAATAATAGAAGAACCAAAAAACAAAATTGTAAGATCATTAGAAATTTGGTTAAATAGTAAAATAAGAGAGTCACTAGTCTACAAAAAAGCAAAAAGAATAGTTAGTCAAATAGTTAAAGACCTCAAATATAAAAAAATAATAATAAGCCAAATTACATATATAAACAATACAATAATAATTTTAAAATTAGAATACCTTCTACAGTTAACAAAGATGTTAGAAAAGATGATCAACAAGATCTACCAACTAATAATATGTTTGGCTAAATATAAGTATAATATTATAAAAACTACAAATAATTGCACAATTAAGCATAAAGATTTAAGAAACTGTAAATCATTAAATTAAAAGATAACAACAAAGCAAATAAGTAGTTTATTTATAAGACTTAATAGGAAAAATATTCTAGATGATTTAATAAGGCTCAAAATAGCTTAAGGATGCCAGAAAGCAGGCTCAGTAAAAGATATTTGGAAGTCTGAAAGAAGACTAGAAAAAATAAAATACTGGAAGCATAATTTAGCTTGTTAAATAATAGTTAAAGTAAAAAAGAAAAGAATAAATATCAGAGCAAAAAATCATTTATAGAAAATATACAGTTATAGAATAAAAATAAAAGAGTTAATCAAATCTAAATCTTGAATAGCAACTAGTAGCATAATAAATAAATAGATTTACTATATTTAAACCAACTTATAGATATAAAAAAAGAGTGTCTAATCATATAGAGATAGCTCAAAAGTTTTTAAGTGCTGTTATATAAAGAAAAAAAAACCAAATAGTTTAATAAAATAAAAGAAAAAATATTAATAATACAGAAAAGCAGAGAAATATATGACAATACAAGATTAGTGATTATAATGCTCAGGTGCTAATGATTAATTGAACAAAGATATTAGAAGACAGAAAAAAAAAAGAGTGGATCATATATGGACTAAAACACAACCAACAACTTAGCAAAATATCAAGAAAGAAAAAAAAAAAGATTTTAGCTAAATATTGGCTTTTGTAAAAAATAAAAGGGAAAACATATATGAAAATAAACAAATGCAAAGGTTATAAAAATGAAATAAAACAAATAATAGACAATTGCAAAAGATAGATAAGATGAAACAACAATATAAAAGCAGTTCCAGAAACATAAATAGAAAAAAACAATAACAAAATTTATATAATATTAGAACAAATACTAGAAAACAGAACAATGAAAGAATGAAAAAGAGAAAAAAAAAACTAATTGAGCTAAAACAAATAGAAGAACTAGAAATAGAAATAATTATAAATCAAAAATTAAATAATAAAGTTGCAGCTTACTTAATAGAAGTCCTAATAAGAAACAAAATAAGAAACAAAGACAAATATACTTTTTATACAGATGAAGCATTATATAAAAAGAAAAGAGTAAATAGTATAAAAAGAATAAGTATTAGTTGAGCACAGATCAGCAATAAAAAAAACTGACTAGAGAAAAAAATGACATTGAGACTTGAAAGTTAGCCATCAGCAATAATAGCTAAACTGATAACAATTTAAATAACAATTTTAACCATACTAGAGAAAAAGAATATAGAAGTATATATATAGTTTTGCTACAATAAGAAACATTAATAGAGCAATTTAAGAATTAGAAAATGTCAAAGTTCTAAAAAAGAAAAGTACAATATAGATAATGAATATTATAGATCTAGTTAAAAATAAGAATAATAAAATAGAATTAGTTAAGAACAAGAGTTACAATAATAATAAGTAAAATGATAGAGCAAATATATTCATAAAGAAAGAAGCAATATGTAAAATGATAATATTAACAGAGAAGATCAAGTATGATAGAATAGAATATTATCTAGAATGGAAAAACAGAAAGATTGATATACCAACAAGACTTTTTTGTAAAATAGTCACAAATGTTAAAATTGGAATCAGTTGAAGAAAAACAAATCTAATTTAAGTACTAGAACCAGAAACAGAAAACACTTAATACAATTAATTAAGTTTTTAAAAAGAGATGTATAGAATAAAAAGTATATACTGCACAATAAGAAATCTTAGTACAAAAAGAGCAATAGCGATCAAATGCATAATAGATGATCTATCAATACTAAAAGAATTAAATAGAAAAAGACTATAAATATATATAACAACAAATTGCTAAGTATGTCAAACAGATAAAAAGGAAACTCAAATACATTTGGCAAACTACAATGAACAAAAAGCCTGTAAAAGAGAATCCAAAAGGTAACAACAGCAACAGCATCAAATAGTCTTAAAGAAAATGAAAAAATTTGAATTTTATCTTGAGTGTTATATAAGTTAATATTTGAAAAAACAGAGGCAAAGAAAATTATTAACAGAAAAGCATTAATAAAAAGACTAATTATAAATAAGATTGGAAAAGGGATCAATCAAATTCTAAACAGACAGGTAATACAGAGATGCATAGATATAATAACAAAAACAGTATAGAATACATTTTACAATCAAATATAAAAAGTTAATATAAAAAAGTACAAGAATAAGAAAAGAAGAGTAATATAACAAGTAAAATAAAGAAAAATGTTTGAATTAGAAGGAGACCTAGAAAAAAAATAGAGAAAGACAAACTGACAAAAGAAAAAAAAAATAAAATAAAATAAAAAAAATAAACTGAATAAAAAAAAAAGCTTGGAAGACAATTAATATGCTTGTTACAAAAAGAAGAAAATCCTTCTAATATAGCTTTAAGTAGTTAGATAAGCAGTTTATCTCTAACTGAAGTAATGCAACAAGTTGCACTTAGGTACCAATAGGGTAACTAAATAATGCTAAACTTAGGTATTGGGAAATTCTATATAATTATAAATATATATAATTTCAAAAATCTTAATAAAATACTAGCATAACTGCTTAAGGTTAAAAAAAAAGCAAAAAAAAAAACAAAATTATACTTCATGTAAAATCTTAATTAAATATTAATAAAGATAGAAATATGACTTTATCATTAATATTAAAAAAAATATATATATATAATCTTAATTATTTATAATCATACTAAGATAACTTAAATTTTGGTTATGTTTATTTTATTAAACTTTCAATTAAAATATTTAATTGTATTATTATTATTGTTATTGTTCAATTTACAATAATAATCAACTAGTAAATAATATTTTAAATCAACTTAGCTTTAAATTCTTTCACTTAATAGAAATTCATTGTATAACATACATTATTGGTTAACATTTTAATCAATAGATTAAAAAATATTAATGACTTAGTAAAAAAAATTTTAAAAGAATCAAAAGTGTTTATAATTATAATGAATATTAAATAAACATCATAGTTTATTGAAGTTTATTACATAATTAATATATTTTTACTAGTAAAAAATAATCGTAAGTTTATCATTCAATTTACACCCATTTTACAACAAATCACCTTTTTTTTATTCCTGGCTTGGCAAATTTTACAATTAATTGAGTATTCAAAGAGATCACAAGCGTAACCTTATCAGTAATCTTATACAACAACAGAGATATTAACGATTTAAACGTGGTGATGACAACGTTTGATTGATAAAATATTAATGAATCGCACAAGCATCAGCCGCAATTTTTATTTTGATTCATTATAGTAAATGAGCATCGTCACGTTTATTAATTAATCGCATAATGAATAGCGTTGGAATAAACTTTGATTATTTCACAATTTGCTTATTAGATTCGTTATCGTAAATATAATCACATATAAGCACTCTCAAAGATGCAATTTTGTTTGGCAGAAAAATTTTCAAACTATATATCACTAATTTAAACTTTTTTTCTGTAAATTATATAATACAGTACAAACCTAAATAGATGTATCATGCTATATAATATGCCAAATAAAATATAAAATCATTGTAACAAAAGTATAACTTATAGTCTTAAAAAAATTACGTATTCTTTTTTTACTTTCTCTAATTAAGTTAATTTGTTTAAATAAAATATGTAAGCCTAACGCTAATTGAAGTGTTAATCTATACAGACTTTAGACGCAGGTAAATTGACTGTCTATATATCGATATGTGGTTGGCCATATGTATAACGTCCCTAAGTCGACTAGACAGGGACTTTTTAGGACTGGCTCGAGGTCGACTTCAGACAAAGTCCGAATGTAGGGGGGTCTGCATATCTTTTGTCCCGGGAATTAGTCATTTAATTGGCTAATTTATGCTGATCCATACATGATGATACGTATTAGTAAATCATATAATATGCAAACTTACTCAAGGATGGACAGATAGGGGATCGGACTTTTAACAGCACTATAAATAAGTACTTATGACATTTTAGTATTTGGTGGCCATTAACATCACTAGCACTAGTGGTCACCTTTAAAAAGGTATTGAAATTAGGTTTTCGTACATAGAAGGCCTACCTCATTATGAAAAAAAAATAGATAATCACATGTAAATTAGGCACGAACTTAGAGTGTATAGCGATAGCGTTAGGCTGCATCCACAATTTACGTTAAACCAGTACTGTATTGTATAAAAATAGGGATTGTATAAAAATAGTGATCTTGAAGATAATTCCATATAGCGATAGTACGTAACAAAAAGAAACTCAAAAATTCCCAAAATAGAAAGAATCGATAAAAATAGAACTACGTACGTAACTTAACGTTAATGCATAAGATAGTCCGGAATTAAAAAATCAGGTAATCAAGAAAATGATACGTATGTACGTAATACGTAGTAATGATAAAGATTTATTACTTGTTATATACATACAACTTGTTAACATTAACGTTAACTCTTGTTTTGCCAATAAAAGCAAGGTTTACCAAGATGGCAATTATCTATTTAATTTGTTAAACGTCACACGAATTATTGCGGGAGTTTTTGTTATGTACGTACGTATGTACGTAATACTGGGAAAGTGTTTTATTGTTATCAAATCTTAAGGGTAGGGTCCTTGTTGTGAGTGTTTTTATAAAAAACAAAAATGGCAGACCATAATGATAGATATCGTGATTCTTCAGACTCTACAGTAGTTAACCTGCAACCTAACCCAGTGAACGAAAGTCAAATACATAATCATAGAGATTCGCTAGAATCATATCATGATAACCCTAATATAGCCTCGATCGTAACAAACGCGCCACTATTATACACTTCTTTTAACGGTCCTGATGAAGCACAGATCTTGTGTGGTAGTAATGATGGCGATGAGGATAACGGATGTCGTATGGAAAGATCTTCGAGTCAACCTTTAAAAAAGTTATGGATCGCAATAGTAATATCACTTACTTTCTTTGCCATCGAACTTATTGGTGGTATAATTGCTGGGAGTTTAGCATTATTGAGTGATTCTTTTCATTTACTGAGTGGTGAGTTTCTTAATTATTTTTTTTATTTTTTTATAGATCGATATTTACAAAAAAAAAAAAAAAATCTGATCCATTAAAATCTATTAATTGCGGATATTAGATGTAGTGAGCTTTGGTATTTCACTCTTATCTATATATCTTGCTCAACGTCCTGCTACTAAAGGTAAGACTTCCTATCATATATTGTCGCGTTAAAATTTTGCTTATATTAATTGGTAATTATCACATTTAGCGCTATCATATGGTTACCATCGTGCTGAAATTTTGGGTGCTCTTGTTTCAATTTTTCTTATATGGCTTCTAACATTATATTTGTGTATCGAGGCCTACGATCGTTTACAAAATCCTGTACAAGTAGATGGAAAAACAATGTGCGTTGTTGCTGTCATCGGTGTTTTTGTTAACATTGTGTAGGTAGCTTTTAATTTGGATTTTTTCTTAAAGGTTTTAAAATCGTATTTTTGATAATTATTTTTCAATCAGGCTAATGCTTATTCTAGGACACAATCATGGTCATCATGACCATAAACATCAAAGTGAGCATGATCACAGTGAACATTTGCATGGAGGGGAAAATGACAATACTCCTACAACATTAATTCAAGAAAATAGTCAGAGAGAACATGGTGGCAATAAAGAGGGCAATGTCAATGTTCGTGCCGCATTGCTTCATGTTTTGGGTGATTTCCTCTCTTCGTTAGGAGTTTTAATTTCGGCTATAGTAATTATGATTGATCCAAACAAAGTATGGGTTGATCCAATATGTACATTCATTTTTTCGGCACTTGTAATGATAACAACATACGGTGTCTTTCGGAGTAGTATAAGAGTTTTGATGGAAGGTTCGTAATTCAAAATTATAAGGAATATATTTAATTTTTAAATTCAATAAACTAATTTGACTAATTTTACAATAGCAACACCGTTACATATTGATTCATTTGCTGTAAGAAGAGATTTAGAAGCAATTAAAGGTGTAGAGAGTGTTCATGATTTGCATAGTAAGCTTTTATTTTCTATCATTGATATTATATCAAATTTCATTACCGCCTATTTATCTCATTAAACTATTGCTTTTTTAGTCTGGGATTTGACAGTTGGCCGGGTATGTTTGATAATTTACTACTCGTAGTATAACCTCGGTATAATGAAACCTTTAACTATGGTTGAATTAAATCTTACTCTATGATAACGCGGTTTGATTCAATTTAAAAAAAAAATTTTTTGACCGGTAAATTTATATTATCCAGTAGCCTACTATGCCCGTACTGCCATTTTTCGTTGTTGGATGCAAACTGCCCAGCAACTGCATAGAGCAACATTCTGAGGTTATACTGTGCACATATATATATACCGTATGGCAATACCTGGTGTGACAATTAATTAGATTTATAGTCAAGTGATGTCATATACACGTGGGTACTGTATACGGTATGTAACATGCGTATATTATAGATTATTAAATGGTGTTATTTTTATATTTAGACAACACTCACGGCCCATATTCGACTTTACAAATACGATCCGGATGTTCATGCTGAACCTTTTGTTCCTAATGAAATATTACTACATGCTCGGCGTATATTAAAGCAAAGATACGGTATATCGCATGTGACGATTCAAATCGAATGATTTGAATACATAGAAATTTTCCAATCGCATAAAAGGGCAATAAAAGATATGGATTATAAATATAGTTATTTGCTCAAACATTAATTTGAGCCTACATGTTATTCAATGTTATCTAGTAACTCGTTTTTTGAATTTTTTTTGCATATTTGTATTAAAGTTTTATTGTATCATATAATGCGTGTAATTTTTGGTTTTGTGTAATTGATTATATTTAGAAAAAAAAAAAAAATCTTATCTTTAAAAGAACGTTTGGTAGTATGATGTGAATTCATGCTCAACGATAAGTAAATTAAAAAATTGAGAAATTGTTTCTTATGCCTAAACAGGTATGAGACATTATTATAAAACATATGTTCAGCCTCATTTGTGTTTGTATAATGATAGATTTTTTTGAACAAAAAATTACAGTTTTTTATCAAAAATATTTTTGGATATGTATAAAGCGTAAAATCTTTCAATCTTTACTGCATTCTTAACAACTTTATGTTTTCGAATTTTACATATTAAAATTTTCAATTAAAAAATATTTTTTAAATTGGTGATGCCAATCTTAACGATTTGGTTCTGGGGCGTGACTATTCATACGGTATGACTTAGAGATGGGCCACGTGTGGGATCCGCTCGGGATGCGCGTTTTTTTGGATCCCGCGTGGGATTTTTAATGAGATTATTTGGCCTGCATTGGCTTATCATCTGGCCTGCATTAAATATCATCCGGCCTGCATTAAATATTGTGATACGGTAATCGGCGAGTCTGTCGCTACTCTAATCCAACTCTCGCGTAACCTACGGCGGCTAAGTCGAAATAGGCGTGTTAGATTTGGCTATGGTTTATCCGTAGGTAAGTACTAGTCTTCTCTTGTAAGTCTTTCCTTCAACCTAGTCTTCTACTAACTCTTTGTCTTCTCTTTGTCTTCTCTTGTATGTTTCAACCCGGGATTATAATACGTCGAATCGGGGTTGGAATTCTTCTATAACGTTAACGGCCTTCTTGGTCACGTGAGTTATGGCGAACAATCAACGGCGGGTTTAGGTATTGGTTAACGATCGGAATTAACAATGGGTTTTAACGATGGTTTATTAGTTTGTATAGGGTACTACTTCTCTTTTATTAAGGGTCGGGTATTTATTGGTATTAGGGAATTCGTTGTTAGGAATGCGGGATTATTGGTATCTGGGACTAAGGGATCTTAGGGACGACACCTCCTTTTTCCCTGGCCGTAAAGGCCCTTTATTTATAATAAACGTCTTATTTACATTCGTAATCAATTTATGCCATAAATGCCAGATATTCTTATGCTCAATATATTAACTAAATGTAATAAAAGGCCGATATGTCATTTAACGCATATATGGCCGAAGTAGCAGAAATGACATAAGTACCATAAGTAACATTTCTGTTACTTTTCGCGTGACCTTGGATCGGGTATGGATCGTCGTCTCGATTCGGGCACTCGTGATCCCAAAAATTGGGCTCACAATAGTTTATAATGCTATTACTTAAATAAGCTTTTTTTTTTAAGAGAAAATCACAAATTGCTATGTAATGATCTTAGGAATTGGCACTAGGATTATTAAGACAAAAAGAAAGCAAAAATCCAAATAATATGCTAATTAAAGAATTTGGGGTCTAAATAACAAAGCAGAAGTATACTAAAGTATTAAATACACAAATAAATACTAATTTCAAAAACTATTAACAATTATAATTATTTGATAAATAGAGTAAATATTGCTAACCAATATCAATCATATTATAATTATCAAATTGCTGCTTTACATAATTGTGTTACTTGGATGGCAATATAATTTTGATTAATAGATACTGTTATAGCAAATTCATTTATAATCTAACAAAAACATAGTAAATTAGTTTATTTATATTTCAGTATTATTAATAACTACAATATATATTTTAACTATAGTCTGACCTTCTTAAATGCATATTTCATAAATGCATAGTCTATAAAGACCTCTCTAAGTGCATGGGCTTGTTTGTCTCCAACTCATATGTAGGAATGGGACACTGCGCAGCCAGCAAATTTTTTGAGAGACTGCGCACCGTGCTTTTAAACTTCAGGCTAGCTAGCATAATTCTGCCAGCTAGTATAATTCTGGCCGGCTTGCATAATGCTGCAGGCTGCGCAGCCTGCGCAATGGATTCAAAAAATTCTCGAATTGCCCATCCTTACTCATATGAAACTTATAGATTTTTACCACAACAAATGCAGTACCTCTCTAAATGCAAGAATTTTTGGTCGCCACACGGCTATGCATTTAGAGAGGTCTGACTATAATTAATTTATTTTACTCTAATAGGTGGAATTCTTGTTCACCAGCAATTTAGATTACAACTAGCATGGGATTTAGTTAAGATGCATTGAATGATGAGCGAAAATAGTTAATAAACAGCGATGAAATAAAAATTCTGCAACTATTGTAAGTAAATATTATAGACTTCCGGTTATTCGTCTTTTCGGTACAAATCACTATCTAGAACTGAGAGAAAATCGACCATGCCTAAGATCTTGTGCCCGTGCCCATACCTAGGTTTTTGTTGGGCGCAAGCACGAGCCCGGGTTGCAGACCCCTAGTAAGCACATAGAACAGTAAGTAAATAAAGATCTAACGGATTAGTAATAATAATATCCTGATCCGTTGGGAATTAGCAAGGTATTATTAATTAATACTCCCGTGATCCTGATATAGTGATTGGGGGATTATATGGCCAATTACACGCCAATGGGCTGACACATTTTTTGTAATTTGCAAACTTAGATCACGTTTTATGGCACGCTTGTTACCCGTTTTAGACGTTCTCCCAAATATGGATGTCATTAAAGCCGAGTTAAAAAAAAATACGTTTTTGATGTTTTTTAGAACTACCTTTTTGATGCTTTTAGAGCTACCTTTTTTGATACAGTTATGGTGAGAAGGTTATTTAGATATCAAAAATGCAGTTTATGCAGCAAGTAGATCTGATCTATTTAAGCTCCATTGATTATTGAAATTGTTATAATGAGTAAAAATTCCGATTGAAGATTCTGCAGGTTCCTACAAAAGCTAAATAAATCTCCTGATACAGTATGACTGCCTCGGCTTTAACAAGATCATACATACAAATATACAAAAATAATGATCTCATACGATTTTGTAAGCTATAAAACGGATGGACAAATTTTAGAGAATATGAACGTAATATCAATAATAATTAAAACACAACAAAAAATTTCTCAAAGATAAAATTTTCCTTCTAATCAAGTGATAAATTTCACAATCACGATCCATTATTTGTTTATTTATGCAAAATTTTCCAGCCATCGTCATATTTTCCTTCAGATTACAATATACAGCATAAACAGCTTAAATTTGCCTAATATTGGATGAAAATGTTTTTCAAGTCTAAACTTCCTGATATTAAAATTCCAGAAGAAGGGATATATCAATTCATAACAAGTAACCCAAAGGGAATTCCAGATGACAAAGTCTGTTATATCGATGGAATTACTAATGAATATTATACATTTGGCAAGTTTAAAAGTGAATCAAAAAAATTCGCCGCAGGGCTATTG